AGAGAGAGAGAGAGAGAGAGAGAGAGAGAGAGAGAGAGAGAGAGAGAGAGAGAGATGCAAGTGACACGTGAAAGATGGCTAGGGACGGTTAAGATCGAACGGGCTCACAGCTTTCACATAGGATGGGTGGTACAGACAGATGTCGCAGATTGGGAAATTATGATACGATTTTGGTATCACGTAGGTACTACGAGCGGGCAACGGGTAGACTGTTAGGGGGGGAGTGTGGATGGATAAGATTGTGTGGTTGGAAGCTTAACATATGTGGGTGGGTCGATGGACCAGAGCCGGTACGAGGAAGATACCATCTGTGTGGACAGGTGGAGGCAATGACATGGGTAAGTGATTAGAGGAGATGGTGTGCATGTGTGAGTGGATCAGACAGTGTGTGTGTGTAGACTGTCACCAAAATGCACTCATGTTTTGTCATAAACAAATTGGTGGCAAGTTTGGTTAAAATGGCCCTTGGGTTGTTATAAATGGCCCTTGGGTTGTTATAAATGGCCCTTGGGTTGTTATCAATGGCATGACAAGTTGTCTGAAAACCCGGACAGCCTGCCCAGTATGCGTTTGACTGATGGATAAGGACCCACCACATCACCCAGAGCTACCGTCTTCACCCGAATAGAACGCCCGGTAATTATCGCCATATCTGGGCTGAAAATTGTGCCAAATACAGCTATAATGACCGGGCGTTATATTCCGGGGAAGACAGTAGGGATACCCATCCCTAGAAGAGATGGTTAAACCACCTGTACCTCGCCCAGCCATTTTTCTCCGGCGCAACCATTAACGCGCCACAATTTTTGTGGGATGGGCTATCGGAGCAAAAAAATGACTGGAGGCACGAGCCAAAAGAAGGCCCGCTCCGGGGATTTCTTTTGGTGCGCAGGGCGTTTCCAGTGTTGGGAAAATGTTATCCAAAGGTACTGCTGGTGGTTTGACGGAGGTGTAAATTTTCAGACAATTTGTCATGCCATTTATCCGAAAAACCTGAAGGCCCTTATAACCAAACTTGCCACGGATTCAACCCCAATTTCAGTTTTCAGTTTTGGAGCGGCTACCCAAAGAGCTGAGAAGTCGAGGTCACCAACAGGCCTAATGCTAGCTCAGTTGGTACAACCCCGAATTGTTGAAATACAGACCCGAGTTCGAATCCAGATACAATCAGATGCCCAGAGTATTAAAATCGTTCTGAATTGCCTGGGGCCAGTCAGTTCAACAATGATATCTAAAGGTCGTCGCCCTTCAGGGAAAAAAAAAAAAAAAAAAGTTGAAGTCCCCCTTAACCACTTGTGGTTGATTTTCCGCTCACACCAACCGCTGCAGTCTCGGCAGACTGTCTTTTTTGTTTTTTCCCCTTTTAAAAGTAAGATACATTCTACTCTCAATTTCACCTCACACTGCCTGCGCACCACTACTCCTAATTGTAGCCATACCAGGCAGCCAATAGCAGCCCGAACCGTGTTCACGAGAGAACATGCTATGGGCTGCTCTCAGCCTGCAGGTGGGCGATACCGGCCAGGGGACAGCCGGTAGCATCAGGGACCACGCCAACAGGACCAATCCCTGTGCCTCCCCTCAGGTCCCCTCCCCTACGAACATCAGCAGACTCTGCTCAATGGCGATCGGCTGATCCAGTGGTCTATCTCTAGGTGGGGGGCACCAAGCATGCCCAGGAAGGTACATGAGGCCAACGGGGATTGAACCCACAACCTCCTGAATGCCACACTTGCGAGCCTTACCAACTGCGCAGCCTGAGCTAGGCCGCTGGACAGACTGTCCTTCCATACCTCTGACAAGAATGGCAATAAAAAAAAAAGGGTGAGGGCATTCATGTCGCCTTTGAGTATCGAATGGGCAAAAACAACATGCGACGGCAAAGAAAACTGCACCAAGTTTGAAAAGCCAACGGAAGTACCGACGGTCGTGGTTTCAGACCGGGTGTCACATTTACAGGGGTCGGTCGTGGTGTCAGAGGGGGAACAAAAGAAAAAAGAATATGCCCAACGGATGCTTTTGGACCGAAATTGACATTTCCAGTTGGCGCGTCGTTTGTTTTCGGTGTGAGTTGTTTTGCGGTGTGAGTTGTTTTTGCCTTTGGGGTTTCAAAACATGCTGCGTCCGCCATTATTTTAAGAAAAAAAGAGAATGGCAGTACGAAGAGAAAAACAGGGTATCTACAAGGTGGGAGATCTGTGGGACACACCAACGGGCAAATGGAAATCTGCAGTGCAAATGAGATCAGCACTGAAGTACGTGCGGCACTTAGAGGACAAGTTACAGGAACTGCAGGAGGCTGTCCCAATAGCATGAACTGCAGCACTCAAAAACGGCCCAACTATTCAAAAAGGTGATTGGGTCATAGAACAGGCCTCCCTCCCCATCCCCATGCTGCTGCATCATGTCCAGAACTGTTCTCCAAACTGTGTGCAACTGCACGCCTATGAACCGGCACTCCCGGGTGCCAGGCTGTTCAAACCGACGAGAAATGAGGACCTGGACGAGCAGCAAGCGGAGTCAGATTTGATGCGAGTAAGGGTGGTAGGGGATGGGACTGACGGGTGGTGGGCATACGAGTCCACAACCCCCATCTGCGCGCTGGCGAGGGCTCTCCCTACTAGAGATGTGTGTATGCCTTTCCATTTGGCCATATCTTGGATTGCTGTTTGGACCAGGTGGTCCGCATGGTTCTTTGGAGGGCCTCCAACACCTCCCTCTTTGCAGATGATCTTACGGTCCTCATCAAGGCCACCCCGGCAAACATGAAAGCCTTGGAGGACACCATCCATTTATTATCGGTCGCTGCTGACATGAAAGTCAATTGGGGATCTAAAACAGAAGGATGGTGGATGCATACAACTGGTGAGCCCCCCCCAGCCGAGCCGCCGGTCAGTTGGAGACCAAAAGAAGAAGCCATACGAATCCTGGGGGTACGGCTCACAGCCCTGGGCCCTCCAACGAACCATGCGGACCACCTAGTCCAAACAACAATCCAAGCTATGGCCAAATGGAAAGACATACACACATCTATAGTTGGGAGAGCCCTCACCATTAACAACGCCATCCTCTCTACTATCTGGTATAAGACTGCCTTTTGGTCGTTGCCTCCAAAACAACTGGCGCTATTGAAGCAAGTAATCTCAACGTTTCTATGGAGAAATGACCAGGAGCTCCGCACATGCATCAAGAGAGTGGCTTGGGCCCAACTAGCCCAACCAAAGTCAAAGGTGGGCTGGCGGTAATAGACCCAGGGGATGAAATAAAAGTCCTAATCTTCAAAATAATAATCAGACTTCTAATGGCCAATGACGTCTCATGGGCCCCCTTGGCCCATATCTAGCTGGTCTCCGTAACTTCTGCTTCACCAGAGGACAGATCGGTGCGCCCTCTCGAGTGGTTCACAAATCTGGCCTGGTCTATCCCGAACACCCACAGGACCACAAATTTAGACTCCCTTGAGGCAGCCACCGAGGCCGACCTGGCAAATGACCCCTTATGGGCCTCTATTATGTCTTTACGGAGGAACATCGGACCACAAAAACTCTTGCCGCCTCAGTGCTCGCATGACATTTGGAGACAGCCATGATTCGGAAACCCATATATCCTCAACTCCCAAGGTCAATCCTTCTCTTTAAAACAAGACTCGCATTGGTTGGCCTGGGCCAAACAGGGTATCTACAAGGTGGGAGATCTGTGGGACACAGGAACGGGCAAATGGAAATCTGCAGCGCAAATGAAATCAGCATTGAAGTACGTGCGACACTTAGAGGACTACAAGAATTGTAGGAGGCTGTCCCAATGGCATGGACTGCAACACTTAGAAAGGGCCCAACCATTCAAAAAGGTGTTTGGGTCATAGCACAGGCCTCCCTCCCCATCCCCATGCTGTTGTATCACGTCCAAAACTGTTCTCCAAATTGCACGCAACTGCACGCCTACAAACTGGCAATCCCAGATGCCATATTGTTAAAACTGACGAGAAATGAGGACTTGGACAAGCAGCAAGCGGAGTCAGATTTGATGTGAGTAAGGGTGGGAGGGGATGAGACTGATGGGTGGTGGGCATACGAGTCCACAACCCCCATTTGCGCGATGTCGTTTGACCCAATCGAATGGCAATGGGGAGGCAACAAACCGCTACCAATCTAGAAGTACGCACGTGCCCAATAGGTGCGAAGTGGCTTGTTGCCACATGGCGCCTGTTGTATGGAGACGTAGACGTCCCGTGACACGTCAGCAGGGGTAGCGCCAGCCGTGGGATTTCAAGGGGTTGAGTAGAACTGTGTGAGTGGCACAGCTAATAGGGGGAGAGATGTATTCGGCGGGGAAGCTATAACATCGAGCAGAAGAATGGATTACCACATTGGAGGAGAGATGCAAGCAGATGCAAACGATAGTGGGGATGCTTATGTTGCGGCAGCAGGAAGGGGTGGAGATCGATGGGGGGGCGATCTCGATGGACTAGTGGTTGGAAGATAGGACTCTGGAGATGCTAGACATCATGTGGGAGCTGGAGGAGGGGTCGGATCCCCGGCTCAACGTCCACATCAAGTGGAGGCGGGCGGATGATAAGATGGCTGCTTGCAAAACCCTCTTTACACTGGGGCGAGATCTACGCAATCAGCTGGAGAATCAGCGGAGAAGTAGTGAGATGGGTGCGATGGATGACAAGGGTGATAGGGACGACTGGTTGGAGGGTGGATTGGTGATCGGCGAAGATGATTGCAGCGAAAACACCAACAATAGCAACAACATCAGTTACAGCGACATTAAGGATAGTGACAAACTTGCTTGCGACATCAAAATTGGGTGCGACAACAACAACAACAACAATGATAACAGCGGAGATAACATCAACAACAACAACAACAACAACAACAACAACAACGACAACAACAACAACAACAACAACAACAACAACAACGACGACGACGACGACGACGGCGACGATGGCAGTGACGACTACAGAAGTAGCGGGGTTGACAAAGGTGTCCGTGCAGCTGTGATCATCATCAACATGATGGGGGAGATGTCGCAAGCAAACGTCGGGGAGATTGGGGTTGGTACGGAAAAGGGGTTTGCTATCTCCCCCCCTTCAACGATAGTGACGACGGCAACAACAACAACAACAACGACAACAACAACAACGACAACAACAACAACGACAACAACAACAACAACAACAACAACAACAACAACAACAACAACAACCACAACAACAACAACAACAACAACAACAACAACAACAACAACACCACAAAAAAAAACAAAAACAACAACATCAATGACGACGACGATGGCGACAACGACCAAGGGAGCAGCGGGGTAGGATGCAGTATCCGCGCAACTGTGATTATCATCAGCGCGATGGGAGTGATGCTGCAAGCGGACGTGGTGGGATATGTGGCTGATATGGAGAAGTGGTTTACTGTTGTCCCCCCCTCCAACCTTGATGTGGAATTCCTCCTCGTGGTTTGGCAGAGGATAGGAGTAGGATAGCTGGGGGTGATTGATGTTGTCCGGCCTGCAGTATCAATCATCAAGGGGGGTCTGATCGTCCCGTTGGTTGGTGGTGGGCTGATTAGGGATTAGTTAGTAGGAGGTCAATCCTTCCTTGCGCAGGGAAGTAATTAATGCCCCCTTACAGTTTCAGATGATAATGCATATTGGACACTGGACTTGATGTCCAGATCATACATCTCTCATCATTGATAGAGTTTTTAGGATTGATTGACAAAGATCGTATATATCATA